CTCTCTCTCTCTCTCTCTCTCTCTCTCTCTCTCTCTCTCTCGCACACGAGAGGCAGAGGCGGAGGGGGGGAAGTAGACTGGCTTGTCAAATTGTCTGCTGATGGACTCTTGGGGCTGCGCCAGCCCCCATGGCTCATCAGGAACTACTAAGGCCAGCAACATGCTCATCCTTCTGGGCATGGTCAGGGCTGACTGGAAAGGGGACAGAAAGATGCCCTGAAACTGGTCATGGCCCCAAACAATGTGCTCAGCTTCTGGAGTTGGAAGCAGCAGTCACAATTTCTGATATGCTGTTACAAGGGAAGGCGCGCTTCCTGACAAGATTTCAGCCAATTCCACGCTGCTCTGCATGGAAACCATGCATGTGTTTGCTTTCAAAGGAGTAAAAGTGGCAATTCCTCAAAGGGATCCATTCCCCCCTTGAGGAACTAGAGTAAGCCTTCCTCTAACTGGGGCTGTTCGGATGTTTTGGACAACATCTCCTAGCATCCATGACCACTGGCCATGCAAAGCTGGCCCTCCCGGGCTGTCCATAACAATATGCGACTCCTGAGCATGCTTCTGCTGCTTCCGGTAAAATGGAATGGAGTGCTCCTGGAGGGACCGGAAAGATGGCCGGGATTCGTCCACAGAAGTGCTGCATCAGCTGCTAAGGAAAAGGGCAGCCCTTGGAGCAGATCCATCCACAAGCAGAGATACATGCCAGCATCGCACTTTAGCAGCGGGAATCACACTGTCACACTCCTGTGTGGTATGTAAGATGACACAAGTAAATAAGCTACCCCTACCCACTTTTCCTTGCTTACCAATGGCCAAGCCGTCGCTAAAATTGTGGATGCCGTCTCCCATGATCACCATCCAGGCGATATTGGCTATCCCGGTGCCTTTCAGGTCTTTGCCTGAGTGGCAGTGTCCATGGGAATGATGGGAGTGCTTGTGCGGCCAAAGATGGTTGTGCTTCCTCATGATGATCTTCTCCTTCCGATGGTTGCTTTCGTAGTCCACGTCGGGGACGTTGTTGTCCCGAACAACATGGGAGACGTCGTTATGGGTGTGCAGCATGCTGTTCTCCTCTTCCACGGACAGGAAGGCCTTTGGCAGGGAGTCCAGCTGGCCATCGAGGTCCGTCAGCTCCGTTTCATTAAGCCGGTCATCAGACAAAACAGAATCGTCTGCTCCTGTGCAGAAAAAAGCCCCAGAAACATCGCCTGTTCACCAGAGGTGACTGTGCTGCGCCAATTCGCATGGCGATCCTACCAACACTTTGCTGCAACAGTAGCCGTGCGCATCAGGTGCTGAGGGGGCACTGCTCTTGCATGTCTTTCCAGGCCACAGAGACAGCTGGACGTTTCTCACAGGAAGCTGTCGAATACTCCATCAGACCCTCAGGCCAGTATTACTGCCAACATGAAAGGGAGCGGCTCTCCAGGGAATCGGGCAGGGGTCTTTCCCAGCCCCACCTGGAGATGCCAGGAACGGAACAGGACGCAACTGCTCTGCCACTTAGCAGTCACCCTGCAATTCAAGCCTTGGGAACCGTGCAGGGCCTCATGCCACAACTGGCTGCTCCCTCCTGGGAGGAAGGAACGGTCCAGATCCATTGAGTGGAACCTTACTAATTTTCAGATACACGTGTTCCTCTTAACTGCCTGCTGGCTTCCTAGAACTTCAAACAGTATCAGCATAAATGGATTCTCTGTACCCTTTCGTCTGCTAAGAATGGTATGACTCATTTATCCCTCCATATACCTGGAGGGATAAATGGGTACCTGCAACACCACTCTTGAAAACTTTCAGTTTTTTAAGGAACCTTTAAAGGCATGATTTGCAAATACACAAATATATGAATATCTGGACTGTCACTGCTGAAGTCTTTGCATTACTATCCTCAGTAATAGGATACCTTGCTATATATAAAATACACAGAGGGTACATTATATGTACCGTTGTATGAGATTTACTGAAATCTCATGAAAGAAAACTGCAATATTTTATCTTATTTTCAGTTTGTTTCCTCTTCCCTTCTTTGTTTTGGTTGATTTTGAAATTCATAAAAAAAATAAGTAGTAAAAGCACCTTTAGTGTGACCTATTATATCCCTAATTTGTTGCTGGCAATATTTCAAGTGTGTCCATGCATAAAAATAACACTGAATTTGAGAGCAGCCTAGGCAAGATGATAAACCCTTTCTCAAAGCAGAGACAGGGGGAAATGCTACAACGTAGCGGCACGAAGGCCTGTTGCAGTCGGCCTGGGGTGCTCCGAGGTGCCGCTTTTTGGGGTGAGGGGTCTCCCAGGGCGAGGGGCTTTTCAGGGATGATGCCTCAGTTATGAAATACTCAGTCCAGAATGGCCCAGCGAGTGTGGGCTGCAGTTCAGGAGAAGACATGCTGTTCCTTGCCAAAGGTTTGAGGTTTGATTCTGGGAATCTCCAGGTAGGAGAAAGACCACTGGGAAAGACCACTGCCCAAAGCCCTTTCCTCACAAACGGGATGGAAGAAACCTTTCCGTATACCCAGGATCTCCTCAGAGATCAGAGAAAATGGATCCCCCAAGCTTCCCCTTGCTATAATCCAGGGATCTGGTCAAGTCCTTTAGTCCAAGTCTTGAGTCAAGTCTCAAGTCACTGCAAGAAAATTTTTGAGTCAAGTCGCTTCTCAAGTGCCCCCCAACCCCCCCCCGTCTGTCCCCCCCCCCCTCCCCCCCTCCTCCTGTCTCCTTGAAGCCTTCCCTTACCCCTACTGCAATCCCTCTCCCTACCCTGCCCCCACCCCTTGAAACTCCCTTCCTCCCACTGCCTCTGCTGGTTGTGCCTGCCTTCCAGAAGACCTTGCCGCACAGCAAGCCCTGGAACAACTTGGTTGTAAGCAATGTAGAAATCGCAGAGCGATGCCAAGCGGAGTTGCTGACAAGACTTGAGCCAGACTTGGGAGTGAGTCCCTCGACTTGAGTCCCCAAAAATGCTACCATCTTTCAAGAGACTGGATAAGCAATGCATCCTTTCTCCTCCATGTGTGAGGAAAGCTGGGGACGGGGCAGATCAGGGGAAAAGGAAAGGCTTCCTTTGCTACTGCTGGCAAGAGCAACCCCAGGCTCCCAAGCAGCTCCCACTGAAACCAGTCCAGGGCCATAGGCAGCCCTTGCCTGCTGCTTTAAGGGCTGGGTGTTCCAAGCACACTGAAGATGCTGAACAAAGTCCCATTCCGAGACAGGGAGACCCCCACGGAAACGGCCTGTTGCTTTGCAAGCAACAAAACAAAAGCAGCAAGGAAATGGTCTTCACATTTACCTGCAGTTTCCAAGCACCCTTAGAATCATGGCTTGGCATCCTGGTTTGCTGCCAGTCCTTAACTATGGTTTAGTACTTCAGAAGTATTGCTCCATGAAAACCTTTATAGCATGGGTCCTCAAACTACAGCCCTTGGGCCAGATCCAGCCCACCATGTCCATTTATCTGGCTCGCCTCGGAGATCGTTTTGGACCTGCTGGGAGATCTCTGAGCAAGCAAGCCACCGCCTGGCTGCACACGCCCGCTGCTGCCATTCAACTGGCCCCCTGTTGAAAAAGTTTGAGGGCCCCTGCTTTACAGTTCCTTAAGAACAAGAACTGCTCTTCCGTATCACTCTAGAGCACGGGTCCTCCAACGACGGCCCGCGGGACGGATCCGGCCCACCATGGCCATCCACCCAGCCTGCGCCGCTGTTCATGCCTGTGCGCACGCTTGCTGCGCAGACGAGGAGGTGGTGGCTTGCTCGCTCGCTCGCTCAGAGAGGGTCTCCGAGTGAGCAAGCCGCCGCCTGCCTCCCATACGTGCACGTTCGCTGCTGCCTTGCAGCGCGGGGGGGGGGTGGCTTGCGTGCCCCCAGGCACCCCCACTCACTGGCCCACGTGTGTCACCTCCGCCTTTCAACTGGCCTGCTATCGAAAAAGTTTGAGGACCCCTGCTCTAGAAAGACATTCAAAAGAAAACCCATTCTTCTCTGGGTTGCAACCTTTACTCAGATTAAGTGATTTTCATTCATGATAAAGGGGCCCCGACTGCAGATTCTCTTTTTACAGATAGTTCAGGAATGCTTCTTCCAAAAATGGTGCCTACAGCTAAAACCAAAGAATGCGAAAACATGCATATATAATCAATTTAATTAACTGATTGGAACTCATAGCCATGATGCTTTATTGGGTGACAGCTCCAGTTATCATCAATTAAAGCAGATTTACTGTCTATGGTTTACACACTGAGAGCAGCTTAAGGCACTCGGCCAGATTAATCACTGGGACAATATAACTGTCTTTGCAGAAGGGCTGCCTGAATGAACAGAGACAGGCTAATAATGAATAGTTACCTGCAAGAGGCTTGAGCTGAAGCCAGTCCGCATCGGGCCTGTTCAGCTTATGATCGGAAAGTTTCCTCCCAATCGGTGATCCATCCACCTTCTGTTTTTTCTTACACCATTTCTGTTTAGTTTGAAAACAAAAAAGACACCTGGCGGTTAATGATCAGCCTGCAGCAACGGGATGGTAATGAGCCAAGGTGCACTGGAACATCTGCACAGCACAATGAAGCGCGGATGCTGCAGCCTTCCAAAGGTACAGAGTGCACTCGGTTAAAAATGTCAGGATTGCTTAGCCCCAGAATGCTGAGTCACGCAGCATCTTCACATGGCTTCCATACAGTCTGAAGTGCCTAATCGGGGAAGCTAAGCAGGATCTGGCCTGGTTGAAACCTGGATGGGTGACTCCAATGTTCTGAACTGCCCAGACAGCTTTGGCTATGGGTGGTAATAGAAATGTAACAGAAATAAAAATCTTATCGAATTTTCCAAATGAAGCACAAATCTTCAATCGGTTGTGATCTCCTTGGCTAGACCATCCCACTGAAAGAAGATGCTGGGTCAACGGTCAACACTATTCATGGCCGGCTCTGCTGCTTGACTGCATTCACCAATCGCCACAAGCACCTCTGCACGGGGAAGGAGCCCGCCGATTTCCAACAGTGCCCTCCGATCCTCGCACACGCCTTGCTGAATTGCTTTGTTGCTGCTGTGCTGGACTCCCAAGAACAGACATGCCAGCCAGCTGCTGGAAGCAGGAAGTTCTGCCATGCTGTGCACTGAAAGCCGTGGCATCCAACGTGTTTCTTCTCTGGGCTCCCGAGAGCAAGGGTGTTGCTGGTGTCGTGGACAATGGTGAGGTGCCCCGGTGTGCCCAGCACAGTTGGTGGACCCCTGCCGGAGGGGCTGGGGCAGCTGGGTGTGGGAATGGCTCAGCAAACGGCCCTTGGGTCCCCGATACCTGCGGAGCCGTGTGTGTCAGAGGGGGAGATGAGCCAAGTTGCCCTTTCCACATCAACAGCTGATTCTTGCCGCACAGGACAACCCAGTCGGATGCTCTCAAGATGCTTCAGACTACAATTCCCAGAATATCTGGCCACTGGCCATGCTTGCTGGGGATGATGGCAGCCGAAGGCCAAAACGTTTGGGGGGGGGCATCAGGTTGGGGGAGGCTAATAAAGGAGAACTGTCCTTGCCCTCAAGATGTCTACCTGTTTTTTCCAAACATCAGTGGGATACTCTGAAAAATGAAAGGTATAAAACCTGCCTCCACCTAAGGCATATTTAGAACAAAGAGGCATCGTTTAGGAAGGACGCTTGAAGCAGGCTATCACACCTTGGCGAGGAGCCTTAGGAGTGCCTTCCTAGCATGCTGCAGCAAGCTTTGCAGGCACTTTGAAGATCTAACGGGGTCCATAAAAATGAGGCAGCAGCAGATTCTGCTTAGCCTTGCACTGTCAAGAAAATAGCAGGAACGAGTCAAAGGCAGGGCTAGAAAGTTATTACAAAAATGCTTGGGTAGCCAGGTGATCAAGCAGTTGGGAGTTCTTTCCCATCCTAGCCAAAAATATTAATTAAAAGGCCGTATCTTCAAAGGGAAGAAAATGTGTTATACAAGCCGTAACTTCAAAATCAGACTATTTGATTGACAGAAAAACACAAGTTCAATGTTTTTCAAGAACTGTAACACAACGGTGTTCTAGTGGTTTTTTAAATTAGTACCTCAGCTTGCAAAAGACCTTACGCACGTAATGAGAAAACAGCATTCACTGGGGTCCTTATCTCACATGCACTCTCTGTTTGAAGTGATTAGTTAGGCTTTCTCATGACTAACTTCCCTGGGATAGTAGCTACTCTTTCACAAGGAAAGCTCTCACGACTAAGCTTGAATCTCATGCTCTTTATCCCAACCAGTTTGCTTTATCTGGCTTGGCACAAGCACAACAGCCGGGCACACCAGCGTTTTGCTACGGCTGCTTCTAAGGCTAATTCTCAGGGCAGGGTTAGGCTGTAATGCCAGTGCTGCCATAGCCATTTCTACAGGCGACAAAACCAAAGCTGCCGAAGAAGCAGGATGCCATCACTGTGTCTTGGAGCACCGTACGATTGGCTCCTAACAACCAGCTGGCTTTCAGCAGATCACCAGATCACACAAAGCTAGCCTGGGATGAGAGAACATGACCCGACCAGTGGCCCCAAGCTTTTGGGGTCAATGTACACATGCAGAATTTTGAATTGCGTGGGAGCTCTCATAACATGGCTGCCATGCGGGGCTTCCATATTCACAGTGGGCATCATCAGTCACTAGGCATTCCTTTTCCCTAAGGCAAAGCGGTGAGGCTAAAAGAAGAGAAACCTGTGCAAGAATCTACATGGCCACTGGTTCAAGTGCTGGTTTGGGACCCAGAAAACCCAGTTTCTAGTCCCCACTCAGCCATGGCGCTCGCCGGGTGACTTTGGGCCAGTTGCTGCTTTGCCTCCTAATATACCTCCCATGGTTGTTGTGGGATAAAAAGGCCTGGAGGGGGCTTGTATAAGCTGCTGTGTGCTCTTTGGAGGAAAAAGTGACTGACTGACTGAATCTTCCAATCAACAAACAAGCGCTCCTCCTTTGAACACAAAGAAAGACGGTGCTGGGCAGAAACACCCCAAGTTCAAGGAATTTTGTTAATTAAAAATGTTCGGAATGAAAATGTGGGGTAAGAGCAACAGAACAAAAACTTTGCCTAGTGCACTCGACCTGCTCCAGGCTTTACAGACCTGGCTAACTGGTTACCCGACAGGACACAATTTTGGGCTGAATTAGTACAAAAGGAGCCAGCTGGAACTTCTACTTCTGAGCAATGGCCATTACAGGTTAAGGTTGCAGTCCTCTTTAATTAATTACTGGTGAAATCTGTGGATATGTTACAAGGTAAATTACTATTTATTTGAGACCCATGTTGAAGCTTTTCTTTTGTAATAACCAAGTATTATTAAGTCAAAACTGTAGTAATAAAATTGATATAATAATAATAATACTTCTTTTTGTGTAATTTCCTGCACTTAGCATGATGTGTAAATTTTGTGTAAGGTCCCTTGGTATCTTTTTTCTTTTTCATATTACTTTTTCTTTTATTTATAAAAAATAATCCCAAAATTCTGGGGGGGGGGATTTCGTCTTCCTTATAAAACATTTTCTACCCCATCATTACTATGTAGCAGAATGTAAGAAGAGGTACGGAAACATACCCTTTGCTTGTTGTAGTGCTTGAACATTCGGATGCAGTGCTCAATAATGAAGAGAAGGTAAATCCCCCCAAGGGCCACCAGTCCTTTAAGCACCATGTCGTACTCTTCGAGGAAGCCTTGGGCCATGCCGCCGTGGCCGTGGCCGTGGCCGTGGAGGTGGTGGTGCTCATGCGAGTGACCTTGCCCCACATGGTGGGTGTGGTTGTGCACCCCTTGCGACTAGTGGAATGGAAGAGAAAGAGACGGGATGGAAATTTTCCAGAGTGAAACTAGATCAGCCTTGTACTCCTCAATTAAAAAGAAAAGTTGCGCGCGCGCGCGCACTCGCTCTCTCTCTCTCTCTCTCTCTCACACTCTCACACACACACACACACACACACACACACACAGCAGGCAAGCTACCCCTCCCACCATGCACAATTCTTCTGACATCTAAAATAAAGGGGTTATACCTCATACATTTTGTTCAGTATACACTAACCCCAACTACTGAACAAAATGATGGTGTGATACTGAGCAGGTGTAGGTCTTGATGACATTTATAGCACAGGTCCAAAAACAGGAAAACATGGACTATTTGCTCTCCCAAAAAAGAGCAATCCACCCCTCAAAAACAAATAAACAAATGAACGGATTGGTGACAGTTTTCTCATTTATTTCTCAGATGAGGAATTCAGTAACACTTCCTCTTTTCTTATTGCATCTAGTGTCGATGTGTTTAGACTTATTATTTCATTTTAAATTAAGCTATAATCTGTCTCAGAATAGTAAATTATGATCTAATTAGTAAACCTATCGGAGGAGCATGTTCTATGGTTTTATCTTGATTTTACAGGTCTTGTTTCCTTAAATATTTAAGAAACATTGTATGATTAGGAGAGGCAGAGACAAGTTTTGATTGTTTTTTTCTTAAACAAAAATTGTGAAAATTCTGAAAAGAATACAGCCACTAATCCAACTAACATTTGTGCATAACTCTGCAAATTATTAGCTTTCTATCTACAGAATCAATATAACTCATACATCAATTTTCCTCTCCCAATGCCTTTTCAATATTCCAAAAGGCACAATTGGGAGTACAAATATCAGATCTTTGTGTGTGTGCTGTACAACTACCCATCTGTGCTGAAAAACTGAGACTATCCAGGGAAGTAGCGGGGGGGGGGGTCATCAATTTTGCCTCCCCTGTATGCACCTAAACACCAGAGTTAATTGTACCCTGCCATGGGCAACAGAAATCTCCTCAGTACTTCATACAAACAAACATCAGGAGACAGGTTAGCCAATGCACCAATTAATGGGCACCTTCAGTGCTACGGTGTGCTCAGTGGTGCATAAGGAGCTCTCAAAGGAAAGAGGAGGGGCAGAAATGGGACAAAACTTACATGCGGCAACAGGTGAAGCAGAGCGTCTCCACTCATGGTTCCGACGGCAAGAGCAACCAGGAAGGTGAGGAGAAATTTGAAGCAGCCTTGGTTAATGATAGGAATCAAGATCACGCCTAGCAAGGACAGTAGACTAATGACTGTGATAGAAATGATGCCACAAATCCAGGCTGTGGAAAGGGAAGGAAGAACATCAGTCAGGACACTTCTAAACCACTGGCAGGGTGCTCAGAGGTCAGTTGTTACTCAGAGGAAGGAAACCTGCCCTTCTCTAAAGCCCAGCCATTATGTATGTTCAACTGAGATCTGAGAGAGTATTATTTACTATCTGTATGACACGGCGGCAGTTGCTTTATCTATCTCTGATCTGATCCCCATGGAAGTACCATTGGGTCATCTTTAAGCTGACAGCAAATACATTGGCATATAGTTGCGTAAATTTAGCTCCACTCAAATGGACCCACGAAACAGCACGGAACAAAATACCAGGTATCACCACCTGCTTCCACCCACCAGAGGTTTTGGAGATTTCAGTCTGGGCACATTTGTCAAACCTCATGAGCAGAAAGAATGTCTTGTGACACAGCAGCTGGTGGAATAAATCACAGTTCAGCTCAGCAGACCCTTTATTTCATGACAACTTTATGGCCTTAACTAGTAAGTGTGAAACATGTAATCCTGCCCAGCATCAGGCTGTGATGTCCCTCACCAGTACTTGCAAGCTTTGCTTGTGTGCTGGCCTTCCTTTCCCCCACAAAAGGGCAATTTGTGAAGCTGATTGCAAGAATAAGCTTGTTTATTGGATGTTTCTCCCAACAGTCCCACCTCCCAAGTTGTAATGTGCAACTTGGCACAATGTCTGTCTTCTCCAGAGATAGTAAAATGCCGCTGGAAGAAATCTACTGAGAAAATCTAGAGTGTTCAGGTGGGCCTCATGCTTGTGTGGACCACCAGGACAGTCTCTAAAATGGCCCCTATGTGTACTTTATTTCAAAATTACTGATGATTTCTACTGGTGTCCACTTCCTGCTAAATGGCCTCCCTGGTGCAAGAGGAAGAAGGATGAGAACAGCTAGCTGGTGGAGTGGGGGCAGCATGTGTGTATGCGCACATACACACAACAAGACATGCGACCTTCCACGATAGGGTGCAGCTTTCCATCTAGGAGAGGGTTCTTCCTTCTGAGCACCCCTTCCTGCTAGAAAACACGGAGAACTCCCCCGAGGGAGACTGGGTTGAGGCATTCAGTCTTCAGCCAATACATTGGCATATAGTCAGCACCTCCACTTAGCTAAAGCCCCAAGGCCAGCTGCTAAGGACTCCATTTCTCCAACAATATTGGCAGGTTTGTGCTACCACGGTGATGGAACGAAACCACTGTTGATTCCAGATGGCAAGGCTTCTTTGGTGGAGGGGCGGGGGAGGACACACACCAAATACAGGGCAACTGAGGTTGCTGCCCCTCAGACTAGTCATGCTTCCTGGATTCAGACAACGCAGCAAGCCATGTCAGCAAGGGTTCTTGGATCTGACTGGTCCATGTGGCAGGGTTAACAAGTTGTTACCATGTGGACCAGGTCGAAGAGTGGAAGTTAAATATAAAATATCTCTAACAGAAGCTTTTTATGCCCAGAAAAGCTTACAGGAAACATATTAGGTGAAGCACAGAGTAGAGGAAAGGGAGGATGGAGAAAGAAGGGACCAGTGGAAGGAAAGCCAGGTCAGGATCTACAGAGGGGGCAGAAAGGGTGTGGCAGAAGCAAAGGCAGGAGAAGGGAAGAGAATAAAGGAGGCAATGACCTGACGGAAAGTGGTGGTGGGGGCACAGATGAGGTCCCAGACAGGCAGAGAGGAAAATGTGGGGCTGAAGAGGAAGTTCACCTTAGAAAACCGGCTGAAACTGAGTCAGGTGAGAACAGGAAGGGGAGCCGGGCCTTTTACAGCCCTGTGCACGCAGCTACAGACCACCTGCCAGGCGAGATTCTCACAGTCATAAGATGGGAGTGTGGCTAGTGTGCTCAGAGTGAGACCCATTATCACAATCTCAGCAAGGCTTTGTTCAGGAGGACAGTTAAATTAAAACAGTCATGTTAAATTAAAATTTCAGCAAATCAAAACAAAAGCTCCAAAAATTGGCAGAAATTCCTGTTTTGATTCTAGGTCACTTTTTTATAAGTTCAGGATATATGAATGAAACAAGAAGCCAGGTGGCTTCCAGAGTATGTCTGAAGTGTGCCAAACCACTAGAATGAATGGGGAGAGGGCTGTCTCCAGAAAGTGCAGGCTCTCCTGAAACATACCAAACAACCCCCAGACGTTTCACTTATTTTCCAAAACTGGGTCGCTTTAAAATGTTGAAGGTCTCCAGGATTACTTATTCATCAGATCCCTCCCTCATTATTTGGACAGAAAAAGCTTCTTTTAAAAAGAAGCACTCATCTGTGCAAACTTTCTAATTAACTTAGTTCAACAGCATAAGCATGATGATGGGGGGGGGAGAGGTTTGGTGTGTGCACGCTTTTTTAGAAACACACGCACATTTTTTCAGCATTTTAATTGGCAGAAAAAGCTTTGCAGCCTTTTCAAAAACTGTCCTGGCAATTAAAGTAGGGTCAGCTCTGACTAAAACAGAGCTACCCCCAAGAGATAAACCATTTACTACCATATGCAGCATACAGGATATTTGGTGTACAGAATCTTTGAACACAGTTAATGAGGTAGTAGTGTGCCACTATGGGAGATTTATACATAACAAGTTAACCTTTCTTAATGATGCTGCAGTCATTAAAAATAATTACCACCAGGGCATTCTTTTTGACAATTATTAACATATATCAGAACATGCTCAAATTTGTGCTTTGTTCTGACAACGCTAATAAGCGCCTGCAAAAGACTCACCAATATTTGCCATTAGCAATACAGTTATTTTCAAATAAGGGCAATTTCCTCCAAGGTTTTCTCAGATGACAGCAACTGTGCCACCATTAGAAACAAAGAGTAGTTTCACATCCATTGGAAGTTAAGAGAATCTCTGGATAATTATGTGAAGGCCTGAAAATAAAATGCCTCTTTAAAAATTCAGCATAGCTAGCACACCAAACTAGCTTGTCTTCATTGCAGGGAAACACACCTTTTCCTTGTCAACACCTGCCACCTGATATACCTCTCTGATGATCCTGCATGTCTCAGGTAGACTGGAACTCTCTCCCGGTCTGCACCTTTTATTTCCAGCATTCAGGATTGGATGCCAACAGTACCAATGACTTTCCTCTCCCTGTGCATGTGTTGGATATACAGGTGTCCCTTCCTGACGGTATACCTGATCTACATGTCCAAACGTGAAGAGGGGGCCTTACTTAACTCCTCCCTTGATTTCATGAGGGGTGGGGGTTAAACAAGATTTTTGGCATGTCCAAATACATCTTCCTGGCTTATCACAAGCAAATCTGAGATTCCTCTTCTCCAACACAGCCCGACGCCCTCCTGGCATGCTGGACTAGCAGGCTGGAGACATTATAAGAAGGCACCAGACTAGGAAGGGCTCCAGCTACACAGACCGTTTTGTTTCATGTTTGCTTCTCCCTCATTCTTTATATCCCCATCCCTTATCTATAGCATGGGAAGGCAGTGATTGTGTTCAAGTCCTTTACTCCAAATCTCCATGGTTGTCATGGTGGCCGTGAAGCCCTGAGCTGTCCTGGATAAAGAGGACCCGGCATGGATGTTGAGGTCACCCAGGCCAACATCCAGGGAGTCCTTAGCACCAGGTCTGGGACCACCTCCGCCAGCTCAGGCAGGGAGTCTGCTGGACAGCTGGGTTGATGGTACAACAGCAAAACCCCTAATCTGTCTTGCAAGCCCAGTGCAAGATATTAGCACTCAGGACCCGCCCTCGAGAACAGGGATCCTGAATTGTCCTTTGTGTCGCACAGCTGCCTCTCCATGGCAGCCATTGTGTGGTGGAGCTCAAGACAATTTCTCCGATTGCCAGATCTACTCGTGTACCCAGGAAGATTGCCAGGCCGGCCACAGAATCCACGGGGTTTGTGTGCTTCGCCAGTAATAGCTGCAGGCAGATGGCTTGCATGGTTAGGCTGGCCTGAGCAACCTTGGAAACAAAGGCTGTAGTAAATGTCTATATATATTTAAAACCTGTACTAGTCCTTTACTTAGTAACAGAAAATAATATTAACAAAACCAAGCAGAAACCCAAGTACATGAGTGCTCCAACCCTAATGCCTTTGACAACACCCTTGTTAAATTTCTCCTCACCCGATGCACCCGTTTTATCCATATCCACAAGCGATGCATTTTTTCCTTTGGCCAAGTCTTCAATCAACAGCTCTTCATAATGTTCAGTACAAACCCTCTTGTCAATCTGATACAGCAATGCAGGACACAGGTATGTAAACAAACTGGGGGAAATGGGAGAACTGGGACAAAGGCCATAATGCCTTAGCAGCTGTGTGACGTTTAAACACTGCAAACAAAGCAGGAAAAGAAAATTTAGCGGGTCGTCGTTCTGTTCAGGAATACATGTTGTTAAAGCCCTAATTCGGGCATCCAGGCTTCACACTTGCACAAAGTAGGGTTCTGTGAGGGCGGGGGCACCTTCCCTGCACCTACCCCCTTGGGGTACGCCCGCTGCACTCCATGCATTGTAAGAGAAGGTCTGAAGGAACTGACCTCCTGAGGAAGCTTGTCTACCCCCTAAGAGAGACCTGGCACCAGCTGTTCCAAGCACTGGGTACCACTCAACACGTAATCCCAGAGGGTTTTTTTCCCCACCCGAAATTAATCTCCAGCTAGGTTGATGACTACTATGTGGTTCTGCACTTCTGTCATGTGCTGACTCAGGGGCTTGTGCATTTCATTCAAAGAAAGAAAGGGGCAGATCCACCTTTCAAATGGGCTTTGTGCTTTCCGAAAAGATCGGCTGAATCTTTTTGACATTGATTCTATCCTGGGCAAACACTCTGACTTCTGCTTCTTCTCCCTCCTCCTGCTTTTAGTACCACCCTGGCTGATGAGCAGCTTAGTAGGCACACTGGGGAACTAGCACTTCCTAAAAGAACCCAGTCAACAAGCAGACACACCAGTCTATGCATTGCGACTGCTCAGTGGCACCGCTTTGTATAAGCTCTGCTGACCCACCCCGCTTCGGAAACCAGTGTTCCCACTTGTCTTCAGTCGCTCTCAGAACCACCAGCTCCCTGTTTCTTGGACTGCTGCCTGCTACTTTTTGAGGACACGCCTGAGGATCATCAGTGGAAGTTTGTGTCCACTGACATTAAAATACTCACTCCTGGAAGTGAAAGGGCACAGTAAAACCTGGTCAGATTGCAGAGACAAGTCCCCTTAAATAAACCCCTGGGCATCTTCACCTTGCAGCATCCCAGTAAGGAGAACAATTCAGACAAAAAAAAAGGTGACAGCACTGATTTAATGATTATACACCATGCTGGAACAATTTAGAATAGCCTTGCAAATAAAAGTTATTATTCTTTATAACTGACCTGCTATCCCCAATATAAATGTGGCTTAATAGGTGAAAAGACCATTTGCCTGACACCAAAGGCTTGTGAATCACTCCTGCTTGGCTTCTGGGCAGTAATTCTTAGCCACCCCGGTTAATCAAAGGTGCCTACCTAACAAGCTTGTCTGAGAAAAAGCCAGGGAGGAGGTGTTCTCGGCAGTGCAGCTTTTACTCATCCATTTTTTTTTTACCATGGAAAAGCAAGCAATGCTGAAAAGCCTCTATCCAGTCTTAGCTAGCTGGCAAATTCTTGGGTGCCATATATACGGAGACTGAAATCAAAACGACATGCGCTTATATTCTCGAAGGGTTTGTCAACGTGCACTGACCTCTTCGCGATGGTGTCTGTCTTCGGTGTGGTCTGTGTGACCGTGAGCCGAAAGGAAGTCAGGCTTCCTCACGCCCATCTGCTTGCGAGATGTTTCCCGACTGCCGGCATGCGGATGCCCGTCGCCGCTGGCAGGATTTGGATCCTGGTGCCCATGAGTGGCCGAATGATCATTACTGTGTTCAAGAAACTGGGTGTGCGAGAGAGACGTCCCGTGCACATGGTCGTGCTTGTGAACACGATTGTGCTCGTGATGCTCGCCGGAGTCATGGCTGGGAGCAAAGTCCGGTGCTGCATCAGCTGAAGCATCGCTGCTCTTCTTCCGGTCTTTCCACTGCTTCCTGTGTTTGCGGGGCTTCTTCTCTGGCTGTTCCTGAGTACTGTTGGTTTCCGTGGAAGGTTCGTGGCTCGGCTCCCCGTGATTGCTGGCACTGATGGAGTCATTATGAGCGTGATGGGTATTATTATGGTCGGGGTGATGGCGCTGGTGGTGCTGGTGATGCCGCCGGTGCTGGTGGTGCCTGCGGCTGTTATGGTCGTGAACGCTTTTTCCATTGGGCTTTAAAGATGGCCCTGCCATTTCCTTTTTAATGTCACACTTCCGGGATTTTTGGGCAGACCCTTCATTCACAGTCTGGTTTTCTGAACCTGAGTGACTATGGGAATGAGGATGGCTGTGGGGATGAGAATGCTTTCCTTCTTGTACCTCTATCACATCTAAGTGAGATACATGATCGTGGCCGACATCCTCATGGTTCAGTTCCATGACTCTGACTTCTCCAAGCCCAAGGCTCATCAGCAATTTCTCCAGACCAAAAAATGTCAGTTTTCCATTTTCGCCATAGCGGTCAAAGAGTTTTTCAATGTAGTATTTCTGCTCATCTTCCGCTTCCTTACTCGGTGCAGGTTCTGTCCTTCCATTCTGGAGATATGGTATCTCTGAAATCTGACAGTCATTGTGGTTGTGGCTGTGACTCTCTTCAGATCCGTGCTTGTGACTATCTCCATGGCAATGGTGGCATTGATGAAAGACAAATGTCAGCAAACAAATGAGACAAAACTGCGTGTGCCTATGTACCTTCATTTCTGTTTTCTGCAAGAAAAGAGAAGAAAAATGTTTGGCTCTTGGCTTCCGTTAGGATAGCCCCCCAAAAATACTTGGACAGCAAGTGATTTAAATTGGGACAATTTCTGCAAGACCCAGTAAAAAACTGAAATATCACACCCCTTTGAGAAACCACCACCTAGAAATTTACATTGGGAAAATGGTTCATTCTGAAGATGGATGTGGAATTGTCTGTTTGCGTAATTAAAATATAAAAATGGTAATTAAAATATTAAAAATGGAGGTGTGAGCTTTTGCGGACTAGGGTCACCTTCATCAAATGCATCATGAAAGCGTGTATCATGAAATATACACCATTCTCTCAGATGCCCCTAGACTCTTTGTTGTTTCATTAATACAGCTACTAAAACTGCTATTCCATGGAATTTAGTTGTCACTGTTGAAAAAAGCAGATACAAGGAACAACTGAATTGGAAATGTTGGTTCAAATTCCAGCCTCTTTAACCATGAAAAAGCAATCAGTGCTTAAATCTTTATATAGTACACTGGCTAGCCCTTCTTTGATGTCACATACTCTGAGGTTCAAATAAAAATCCTTGTTACAAGAGAAGGAGGGCAGGGGAACAACTCTCCATTTTATTTAATTACAGAGTCTAAAGATCAAGGAGATTTTCCAGCAAAGTAGAAAGTAAATGTGAGTAATCATTTTCTACTACATGCCAAATCATTAAAATTGCATGATTCCAAGCCCCGAGTTAGCGTAATTATTCTAATACAATCACAGCCAGGATTTTTACAGGTTTCTCTCTTATCTCTCTCATACACAATACACACCCAGAAACACAAACATAAAAACCAGCCACCGGCTTGTGTGCAGGAAGGGGCTGAATACAACCTGCCTTCTGAGTACATCCTCCTCCTCATTTCTCAAGCTTACAACATGCAGGCTGACAGCTTACCTGTTTCATTCTTAAAAACTCAGAATGGCATTCCATGAACCTCACTGAGATCTCATGCTGCCAATACGCAAAAGCTGAAATTTGTTCAAGTGAAAAGGTCAGTATCATTTACAAACATGTGCTTATTTAAGTCTTAATACTTTAAAATTAAGTAAATTAAGTAACCCTCCCCTGAAGAACATGTAGTGACTTATTTTTTAACCTGCATTCCATTTACTATCTTAGCCACAGCTGGGGAGAAGGCATCCGTATAGCTGGAGAACAGATGCAAAACCATATAGGAATGTTTGTGTGATGCCAGAAATTAAGCTACATGGAAATTTCAGGAGCTCATGAAGAACAAAGAGGCAGATGCCAGTAGGAACAACTTCTGGTTACCGATTTACATCCAATCCTTCTTCCAAGGAGCTCCAAGCAGCTCTGCAGCTGATAACAACCTTGCAAAGTAGAATGAGCTGGTAACTTTCTCACGGCCACCCAACAACTATATAGTTAAGTGGAGATTTGAATTTGCAGTTTCCGCATCAAACCCAGGCATCTAGCTTCCAACAACACACCATATCGCATACAACACTGTAAACAGTCGGTATCTCTTTAGGGATTTTACTTTTGCAAAAAATAAAAATCTGGGGTTGATGGGAGTTGGAAGTCCATCTGAGAGGCACCCATTGGGAAAGGCTGTCCTAACTTATCTACATGGGTTTCTTGAAAGAATGGAAGAATGCCATGTTATGAGAGAAATAAATCCAGTTGGGTGTCATTGAAATGACGTCATTCAAAGTGTATATTCATGTAACTGCATGGCAGGTGGGTGCTCTTTTCATTGGAAGGTGGGGCAGGACATCACAGATTTATGTTGAAGCAGAAACTTCTCAAATCTGCCTATTCATACAACGTCTTTCACAAACTTTAAAGTTACTCTGTTTCTAAGGCAGTTTGGAATTAGCATGGAAAGACCTTGCTGGGACAGATGAACATAGAAAGGACCTTACCTTCTAAGGGCAGAACTAGAGTAACTGTTTAAGCTTGCCACCATCCACACAACTTATGTGAGGTAAAGGAGCTATTTGTGAACAAGTCATAAGACGAAGATCAAACTAGCAGCATCACTTTGGTCTGCCTTATCGTGGAGCACAGATGAAATATCAGGAATGTTAAAAAAAAACCCCCACAACAGCTTGCCCCCAGTCCATCCTTTGCAAGATGTTCCAGCAAAGCAGGGGCAGAAGAAAGGAACTGAAAAGGAAGGGAATGTTAATGCCTTTGGCATTTCCTTCCTAAGTTGAGAGGCACCCACTGCAAGGAATGGATTAGAGATGACCAGCAGGGATAACACCAAGCCAGGGAACCAAATAGAATATGCAGAGCTACATTCATGGAAGCCAAGATACAGAAGCACAACTTCAAATTCTACCAAAAATAATTAAACACTAAATATAGAAGATTTGGTAAAGCCAGTCACAGCCAGTGCCAAAGACTTTGCTACAAGCAGAAGTGCTACCCAGTTCTCGCTCTGATGAGCTCTCTGGTGAAGCTCAAAATACAAACACACCCCCTCCTATACTGCTTTAGGCATTACCAAGAATGTACTTGCTGACATCTCACCCTGACTCAAGTACGACCCTAATCCTTTCGAGTAGCTCCTGATCACATTCATGTGACTTTCACATGCACCAGACCTAAGACTCCGCTGGAAATGTGGCCATGCACCCCTAATTTTAGACCAGCCTTGCTCAACCTGGTTGCTCCAAATGTTTTGGGCTACAATTCCCAAAATTCTTCAGTGTGGATCATGCTGGCCAGGGCTGATGGGAGTTGAATTCCAAAAGATCTAAAGAGCACCACACTGGGGAATGACTATACCATGATGTTCAGGTTGTGGGATGGCACAGAAATGAAATGAAATGAAATGAAATGAAATGAAATGAAATGAATAACTGGGTAAGTGGACAAGGGACCAATCCAGAGAAGTGTCATGCCATGCATCCTGCCCAAGAACACATACAATTTCCCTTCTTCTCTCTCACAGATGCAAGTTTACAATACAAGCTGTTACTTATCTTAAATTCCCCCTTGTTTGGCTTGTACTCCTAATTTTTTTAAACTGCACAGTCTGGAATTTCTAGGGCACAGGGCAATAGCATGGACAAAGCTCAGCAGTGAGAGCCAGTGTGGTGTAGTGGTTCAGAGTGTGGGACTGGGGCTCAGGTGATCTGGGTTCTAGGCCCCACTCACCAACGCAGTCAACTGGGTGACTTTGGGCCAGTAACAGAGCCTAACCTACCTCACACAATGGTGGTGGTGGTTGTGGGAATAAGCTTGAGGGCAGCAGGAAGAAAATGATGTAAACCATTCTGAATTCCTTAAAATAGATAGATAGATAGATAGATAGATAGATAGATAGATAGATATGGCCAAATTGCAGATGGGCTTACGCTGCACAAAGACTGTGGGAAGGCTGATACTTAGGCAGACAACCTTTGGCAGCTTATAGGATTCCGAAATTTCAACAGAGGCCTGCCTCACTTTATTGATGACCTTCCAGAAGCTGGCAAACCTTTTCCCTGAAAGCATAAGTTTTTAACTTGCTGTTTTCAACTGGTCTCTTTCTTACATATTTCATTGACTGTTACAGTGTTATTTCCTGCTCCTGTTTTTAATCTTTCGTTCTTCCGCTGTTACTTGAAAGATTATTTTCATCTTTAATTTTTAAGCAGATGATTTATTGTTCACTGGCTCAAACTCTTAGGAGAAGGGATGGGGTATACATGCTTTAAAATAACTAAGCAAATAACACATTGATACAGAATGTTCTTTCCATTTAATTTACAGATTTGATTCAGCAGCCATCAGTGGGGGCTGCATGACTTTGGGATATTTAACTACAAACCGAAGCAGGTGCTTTGCAAAAAAGCCTCCATCTGAACATCCTGAGCTAGGGTTCTTTTCCTTTGGTAACAGGTGACAACTGACACCACATATAAGAAAACGGAGGGAGATGCATAGCAAATGGATGAGCTGCTTCCCTACCTACAGCTGCATGGAAGCAAATTTGCATGAACAAAATGGAACTTACCTCAAGGGGGCAGAGGGGGGAGTGTGCGCGACCTTAAAAGGGGGAAAAACCCAAAAACTACATTCCTAGGAACACCCAAAACATTAATGCTAGTTCACTAGCAATATTGATTTTAGCCAAAGGGAAAGTTACTCTAGTTTATTACGGTTGAAATGAAGAGAGGAAAAAAACTTTGTGCATTCAGGGATAGGGTTGGCCAGCAAGCACTGAGAAACCTTGGTAATAACCTATCTCATCTATTTATTTGATCATGTTTTTCAGTATAAAAGCTCTGAAGTGAGCATGAACATTCTTCTGGTGGTTATGTACTGGAACCATTATTCTCCTCTTTCTGAAACACACATACACCACCTAGTTCTAGCTTTTGTCTAGATTTTTACATATCTGGGGTGCTAATGGTGGATACTGAGGCTGCGATTCTACAGTCACTTGCCTGACAGGAAGTCCCATTCAACTCAGTGAAACTTGCTTCTGAGTAGACAGGCAATAGAATTGCTGGCTTTCCACTTTTTTGAAAGTGCAACCCCATTATTTACAGCAAATGAATGGGGTGACTCGATCCCTCTCACCAACCTTATATCCAAAGACTCCTCTGTAGAAAAACAAAAGTCACCAAATAATACACTTTCTAAATACTGCTCACCTGAAGTAGGAGATTTATAATTATCCCCCAGCCAACTCAACCTGCAACCCACTCTCCCACTGAGGTCATAATCCTATTTGTCTGACTGGATCCTGCTGGGAATTCTAGGCCTTTTTTGAGTAAATACACATACGATGGCATCCTTGATTTTTCAAGAATGTGCATAAAATAAGGCAGAAATCACATGATCCACCAACATTTAAAAAAATGGTTCTGACCCCAATGGCTGCTACCCACAGTACCAATTAAAACAGAAACTGTCCCCTATTTCCTGTGTCCTTGCATTCTACACACAATTTCACATTTCTTTTCAGAAAGAGTTGTTTTAAAGTCCTCCCCCTCTCTCTGGCTAAAGCTTGACATGGAAAAAGGACTGGGAAGAAAAGGCTTCTCATCCTATCCCCAGTTTGTTTAAACTCCTAACAGAAAACACATGGGCTAGCTTATTCTTTCCCACCCAGAAATAAAAAGAGCTAGGCAGTGGTCAATTTTTTGCTACGGAGTTCCAGCCTCGAGGACTGCACTGCGTAAAAACAAGGGAAGTGTGTGCAGCACCTAGCCAGGACGTTCTGCAGTCCCTGGTGAGGATGAGGCGGGACAGGGGGGCTACGGAGCTGACTGAGAGGGCACTGACACGGGATATCACCCATCCTTCCATCCAAGAATGGGTGAACTCATCATGCAACCAACCAGATTTGGCTACATGACAACATCCAACAAACGAAACTATTCAGAACAATGCCAGCACCTATAAGCTTAATTTACCCTTAATGACCCTGTTGAATCCATAATTCCAATTGGCTGCATGACTTTACTCTTTCTGTGAATAGAAGCCCAGACAAGGTGCCAAAAAAGGCTCCGAAGCAACAGCCAGTCAGAACTCAGAAAAGCCATTTGATCACCATGAAAAGGGAGGAGGTTTTGAGCCACACCCCCTAAAATCCACCCTTTCACACCAAAATTAGAACCTGTAGGAACCTGTATAAAATCTGGCAACATATTAATTGTAATGCAATCTGTGCAGGCAACAGAGAAAGTAACTGACACATTGAGTCAGACGTGCCATGCCTTCTTTTTATATTTTAGTGACGTGTCTTTGCGGTGTGTTAGATCAAGTTGGATGGTGTCTAGACAGTGTCTCTTAAGCTTTTCTAAAATCATAAAACCAAATGATGGGAACTCTCCAGGTTCCCATGGAGATAATGGAAGCCTGCAAGCAGTGATTAATATAAGTAATTGAGAACAAATGTATTTCAGAGACAAAGCATTCTAAGCAACCAGTTCTAACCTGGAATTTGGTTTTTATGGGGGTCATTATTTCAAAAGTATTCTCTTGATTTTAAACAAGACCCAACAAGAATTGAGAAAGCTGCTCACAGTATCTACTTAGTAGATAAGGAAAATTTTCCTGTGCAACCTCACACATCCATCCCACAGGTGCTCAAATTTCCTATTCAAACAAAGTATGACTAAGGTTCATGATTAATTCAAGAAACTTCTATTAGAAAGTGCTGTTGAAGTGAGGGACAGTGTGAATGGGCCATGGTTTGTGCATATCTCAACTTGATCCATGAAAACTTAACCAGTTTTTCCTGTTACATACAAAATGGGAAACTGTGATAAGAACTGGAACAAACCAGGATCTGAAGCTACATGAATGATCTGAAGCTGAATGTGGTTTCTTACCCTAGCTTGTGCTGATCCTGGTAATCATGATTTCCCAGTTCAGATATA